AGTCATCCCTACATACACACCAGACCATTTAACAGGACAGGAGTGCAACTTCAGTTTCACCCAGTTTTACAGCAACTGGTTTGAAGACTGCAGTGGTTTTCTCTTCGACTTGCCCTTCCCAAAAGAATCACTGCTCCCCATTAGATTTCTTCATAGGATCGCTTTAACAGAGGTATTCTCCTCTCCCTGCTTCCCATCTTCATAAAGTTGGCCCACGCAGAAGTAGATTTTGCCACGCAAAAGGATGAGAATAAAATAATTTACTACTCCTTTCCCAGGGGAGCAAAATTCAATTTTATGGTGGCATCAACAGGGTCAACATCTTCACTAAATGAATCGTGGAGATACCAAGGCACCATTATCGCCAGTGTCACAACATCTCTCCTGTCAGCAGTTGTCCCCCAGTGCTGGCAGCATGACACTGCTAGAAGGAACTGTACTCAGTCTCCCTGCCCAGGGTGGATGTGAGAGAAGGGTGGCTTGTGAGATAACCCTCACCAGCACAGAATGGGTGCAGGAGCTGCTCAAAAATCATTCTCCTGATATGGAAGGCCATGATTTTGTCACTCCCATCAGTCTGCTGCCTTAAACTATTACCTATTTTTTCCTATGCTGAAAGCCAATCTGGCCTAGAAGAAACTACACAGTCTTTTTTAGGAGCAGGGGAAAAAAAAAAAAAAAAAAAAAAACAACCACGGAAGAAAACACAAACCATTTACATTGTCATTTAATGCAATCAGTCTTTCAGATACCATTATTCAGTGAGGGGGGAAGTAGAGAGCCTCCTGCTATCATTGGCAATGACACGCAATTAAGCTGAGCACATCTAAATTATGGCTTTTAATTAAAAAGAGGCAATGTCTAAGATGGCACCAACATGTTTAAAATTTAATACATTTCACGCCAGATGCTGGAGTCATCAACATAAAAATCTGTCGACAACATGTGCATTTTTAAAATGGGAAAATCTATTTTTAAAATGTCAAACATTTTAAAACGATAGCGACACATCTCAGTGGCCTATCTGGTTTGATGTGCTTTCCATTTAACTATTCATAGCTGAGAAAAACCATTCTGAACATGACTTTCCGTTTTTAAGTTAAATATCCATTTATCATCTAAATCTTACAAATGATGAGTTTTCTCATTAAGGCAAGTTAGAAGTGAAAAGTGTCATTTTAATGAAAGGTAGAGTTTATTTCTTCCTTTTTTTTTCTTAAGGAGATCCATTTGTCTCCTTCATTATTAACATTGTCTCATGTATTGCCCATATGAGTATGAAATCAAGCATGAAAGTCTTAGAATCAGTTTATGGGTGCTTGCATAAAATTCTCCCTCCCTTTTCTATTTCTTTTCCTTTTTAGTTTTATTACATTTAAATGTTAGTCTGGACAGAGAGTTGCAATATTTTCTTAAAGACCTTAATTCTAAAAGCAAGGTTGTCACTCTTCTAGTCATTATCATCTACTCTGGAGTGAAACCAAAACAGCAATAGCAGGTAGAGCAAACCCAACCAGTCCTACAGAAGATGGGATTTTAGAGGTCTATTCTTTATGCATTGAAAAAATTGGGAACAGAAATTAGAGAAATATTCTGAAATAGCAGTTGGTGACTTCTCCCCTATCAGTATATCAGCTATCATCGAGATAGAAGCCATCCAAGAACTCTTAAAAGAAATACTCCTGAATCACTGTCCCTGAAGAAAACACTGCTTTTCTGCCTCAGCTTTAAGTGTCTCATAACTTCTTCTGATGGAACAGAGGAGAGAGTCAGAAAAACCGCCTTCTCCATAGCATCTGGTGGACTAAACAACCTTCCTTCCAATTAATTCTCCCCACAGCACAATCTTCTTCATCATTTGCTTTAGAATGCACTAGCCATCCCAAAAGTAGACATAAGTAATGAGATTACAGACGTACAGTGTCTGGACCATTATGTATACTATTAGGTTGGAAGCAGAAAAGCTTGCACAACACAAACAGATGCCATTCAGCCAAGCCTGTTCAGTAAGCAGCAAATAATATTTAGCTCTTCAGGATGAAGTAGCATGTCGAGGTGAAATTACATTCAAGTCTTGGAAGCTGCTAAAAGATCTAGCAGCACTGGTAAATCATGTCTTCAATACTCTCTACAGACTGCTTCAGAGTTTATTCTCTTTCTTTACCTAAAATAGCACAAATGTTTAATAAATCTGAGATGATACACATATATATGCATACATGATCAGAGGACAACCCATGTTTGTGCATGTCCTGAAGGAGGGCTGTATTGTTCAGTGCCACTCTTCCCTTCCCTCATCAAACAAACCAATATGGAAACAAACTGATGGTTTCATATCTTGCTGTTATCAGCCATCATCATGTCTCCTGTTCCCAAATAAGCTCATATAGAAACCTGAAATACACTAAATTGGATGGAATATAGTTTCTGTCCATTATTTGTAAGGAAAAAATTAAACAGCAGCATCAAAGGATGGTCTCATCCTAACACAAATGCTGGCCCAATAATTATTTTCGTTCTCTTGGAGCTTTCTCTATGGTACTTCACGGTTTAAAAGAGGTACTGCTGTCTTCCTGTTACAGAAGGATTCCACTCCTACATTTACAAGCACAAGACTTTTCACTGATTTTTAGTAGGTGTCATGGATTCAAGTGCCAGAGATAAGCAGACAATACAGGCCTAGCTATCCTTCCCTGCATAACATCATGCAGTTATCAGTCTACCTCAGTCCTTGGACGAAATCGGTTCATTGATGAAGAACACTTGAAGGAAGCTGAAAATAAGTAAGACATGGATATGTTGGCATGTAGAGGGAAAGTATTTTGAAAGGTCTTTGGCTGTAATGCAATCTTTGGCTAAAAGGGTGCATGCGCAGGGGGCAGCTCAGTCTCAATTCGGGAGCAGTGTGATTCCTTGGTGATGTTAGTATTTGTATCAGTGCTTCTTGGCAAGAACAAACTTCCTTGAGGGCAAACTGAAGACTAGGGAACGATCTCTCCCAAAACTGTAAATATCATACTTATTTCATTAACTTCCCTGTGTTTCCCTCCACAGGCAACGTATCTTTCTTTGTCTTGTCAACAAAAAACAACCTTATTGCCACAAGACGTTGCAGGTATATACCCTTTCCTTATGATTCAATAAGAGAAACCAAGAATGTGCCAACAGTTCATTAAGCTGCTTAATGTGTTTTTGTGTAATGCTCAGAAGGTGACTGCCACATAAACATCCAGGCAGAAGAGGACTCAATATGAAAGAATCTAGTTACGCACAAGGTGCTTCTCATTTTACTGGCATGATTCTGCATGTGACAACTTACAGTTTATTGACAAACATCAAGAGTCTTTACTGGTGTATGGAATTACACAGGCAGAGCACGTTAGGAAGTTTGGGTGTATAGACCTGTTGTCTCAGGGTCAACATTACACTCTTGACTCACACTTGTATGACAAGTTTGATAGAAAATGTTCATGCAAAATTGGTTGTTACCAATGAACAATCACGTTCATTATCCAACAAGGCAAATATCTACGACATGAAAAAAATGACGCATACTTCATTGGTTGTTACCAATGAACAATCACGTTCACTATCTACGACATGAAAAAAATGACGCATACTTATATGTGAGTAAGTAAAATTATTATCAAATAAGTGTCCTTATTTGATAGTCTTTTGAATCAAATCATCATAGAATCATAGAATCATAGAATGGTTAGAGTTGGAAGGGACCTCAAAGATCATCTAGTTCCAACCCCCCGCCATGGGCAGGGAAACCCTCCACTATACCAGGTTACCCAAAGCCTCATCAATGTAATTTTATATCAATGTTTACAACTAATTTTTCAATGAAATATGACTGATTCTAAAGCATAGCTTTTAAGATCTTAGCATTTTGCCCAGAAAACAAACAAGTACAAACCTAAGGGTGTGCTCTAGCAGAAATCTCATTTTCTTAAGCTGCAGATATCTGAAAACATGGTTTAATTTTTATTTTGTGTACTAATCAGAAAAGTAGAGTACAACTGTCATATATTTTTTGGCATTCTAATCATGAAAATAGTCTCTATTTTAAGGCAGATGGAGCACTGGCGGTACTAAGCACAAGAAAGTTAATCTGTGTTCTGAGCATATTAATAAACAAAGCCTATAAAATAAATGTTAGTAAAAACCCAAATGATTCTTGCCAAGTTTTCTTTATATATCTTCTGGGAAAGAAATATTATTATGAACTTGATTTCATTTCCGTGCCCACATGAAAATCATTCTCAAAAATTAAAAAGTCCAGATCACAAAAGAAATTTTTAAAACATTGCTTAAAATGAAAAACTAGAATATACCTGAAAGTGAGTATTCTCCTTTTAGACTTTCACTTTCTCGGATTAGGAAGGCTCCTGTCTGGTTTCCACGGTATGACAGTTGTCTCTCGGCATCTGCTCGTTTGATTGGGCCAAAAAACCATCTGAACAAATAAAAAACATTAATTTTACCAGTCAGTGAAACATATCAGGAAGACAATTTAGTTTTTATAAACATGCTGCATATTTACTAAAAGATAATCTGTGCTATGTTAATTAAATTCCAATAGCATGGGGAAAAACAGCCAACAAGAGCTATACAACAGATTTATTGCTAGAAAATATTGCTTACACCTTTGTGTGAAATCTGGATTTTACTGCCGATGGAAAGTCCTACTGATTTCAAGGGAACAAGAATTCAAAAGTGACAGACTGGCCTTGTCCCCGGAAAAATTCGCCAAGAAATTTTGCCAAAGTTACTGCGGCAGAAATTAATGCCAAGTCTGTTGATGCCACTTGAACTACCTAAAGGTGCAGGTATGTGCTAACATCTTCAAACTCAAAAATCCCGGAAACTGCACAAGGGGGTCTCAGATTCCAAGAGGTAAACCACCCTTTATCTTTCTCCGTTCCACTGCCACGTCGATAACTCATATGAGTTACTGGCAGTTTTTCAGCTCTGCTGCTGTTAGACAAACAAAGCCAGCATGTCCCTCAAGTCACTGCAAACATCTCAACATTCTTCTTGTTCTGTAACGATCTACTTCTATCTATGCCTTTTAAAACATGTTTTTCTTCTCTCAATGAACCCTGTAGTTTACAAGGACTTGTTCAAGCAATAGCTTCAGTTTGCTCCTCTGAAGGTACTATTTAGCTCTTTTGCTGCTTTGTGCCGAGTGTAAATTAAATGGAAATGAGACTGAGATGAGTCAGCATTTTCAACTGGGGCGGCATTCAGCTTCCATCCAACCAACATACAAAGCTCTTTCGAAGATTAGCTCCACCTCTTACTTGAAGCAAATAATGATAAATAGCTGTCATAAATATGCCATGTACTCATAGGAGAACTCCTTTTAAATTAATCATAGCCAAACCTATTATGCAAACTTTTAAGATAAATCAATGTATCACACCACAGGTAAGTTGCCTATTCAGCTAACTACTTGATTTGTCAATTACTAGTGAAAAGTACAGAAGGTGTCATCAACAAAGTACTTGAGTATCTGTAAAGCTTGTAATCACCACGAGGAATGGAGGAAATAAATGAGAACATTGGGTGACACCTTGGCTGAGCAAGCATGAGGAATGAAAAATGGTTTTGGATGAATAAAGAGAAAACAAAAAGAGGTAAACATAGATGATGCTAACCCACGCTGGATATGCTTTATTAACAAAATAAAATGAAATCCACATATTCCGGACTGCATTCCTGTCCTCTGACTTGAAGATTGTTCAGATAAAATAGGTCTTGATGCATATTTGGCAAGGAAAGGAATCTCATGAGAAAGCTGGAATGTCTAAGTAATAATTTTAATTAGTTTAACATGTTAATTAATTCAACTAATTAATTAAATTAATTCATTAATTAGACTGTAGAAAACTAAGTGATCAATAAATATTCAAATCCTTGACTGAGGTTCTCATTAAAGGGATGAGAGAACAGAATACAAGTTCAACTCTATTCAAGTCCCAAGGAAAATTTGTCTACGCTAAAAACTGAATTAGAATCTTTCTGAAATTTCTAAATACAACTGCTTTGAGAATAATATCTGAAAACAAATAAACCATATGATCTGAAAAAAAAAAATTAAACTGATATTTTTCTCCTTAAATTATAAGATATCACTTAGTAATGCCCAAAGTGACCGATTCTCATAAAAGTGTGTAAGAAAAAAGTTTAATTTTGTGTTTCCTTTTTTCATGGTTAAAAGGGTAATATCTTCTCAAAAGGATTTCATTGCATACCAAAGCCAAAAGAGCTTCCAATCAGCAAGTTTGAATTTTATGTTCCGTGTAGTCAAAAGCATAGTCATTACATGTACAGTATTTTTACATACACTGTTAGTCGCTCATATTGATAAAGCTGAAAAAACGGGCAGTAAAACGATGTATGTAACAAGAGGGTATTGTTGGTTTATTTGGGAAATACAATTTAAAACAGTATTACATTTGTGTATATAAGATCATGTCTACAATACAACATATGATTTTGGAAAAAAATAGCATATTTTGTATATGATATATAATGATATATAATGTATATGGTATATAATATTATATTCAGGCATATGTATCTGTTCTTTTGACTTCAAAATATTTCAAATGATATGTTTGTTTTTCTTAGGTTGGAAAAACTTCATTTAAATCAATATGAATTTACCATTAAAGATTATAAGGAGCACAAGTAGTATGTAGATCTGACTCTAGATAAATTTAGCAGTTAAAAAGATCCTGGCTTGCAAAATAAGGTAATTAGAGTAGCAGCATTTGAGAAGGTAAGTGTAACTGAAGCAATTATTATGGAGAGTGAAAAGGGGACATATATTGTACATTACCGCATTTACCTGACTTTATATGATCTGATTAAAATGTTTCAGGAAAATATAACAAAAATTACTTTTAATAGCATTTGAATACGGGATTCTTAGTTCAAAGTCATTGGGCTTGCAATAATAATCATACACGACAAAAAGCAATACTGGTATTGAAAAAATAACCCCTTAACCTCAAAGCAAATAATTTAATTTGTTATTCACTTTTTTTTTTAACAAAAGCACATCCAAATTTCAAGTACTATTTCCATTATAAATGGAAGTTTAAAATCCTTTTATAAAGCGTGAAGGGCTTATTTCAATTTCTTACGACTGAAGTTATGCTTCAAAAGACTTAATATTTTACTTCATCCAAAAGTGTGTATTTTAGAGGAAAAAGTACTCTAAGGAGTAATAATGAATCAAGGTAATTGCTCAACGTGAGATATTGTTCTGTGTGGCAGGAAGGTCAGACAAAACAACACCCAATACATAGTAAATCTATTTGGTTTTATAGCTCAAAGTTAGATAGAGGTTTTGAAACAATGCTTAGAAAAACAAGACCGTCAAGCACCATCCATTGCACAAGTTACTTAACTAGCACTTTCTCTGACTTCGGAGTGCTATATTGGCATTAGGCAGTTCAGGAGAAGGTTGAATTAGCAATTGTTGTACAGTTTCACTTTGAATATCAGCTTGCAGTCAGATCAATTTGGGTCATGATTATGAATGCAGGATCGGCACATTACCAAGTACGGCACAAATTAGTGTGTTTGGACTCGGGCATAAGTTTCCATTTCTAGCAGGAGCTGTCTAGTTAGCACAGCAGTAGTGATCTTCTGTCAGTGAGACCCTTTCTTCCTTTTCAGTGTAGAATGCTAGATCTGCTTTCTGGGCATTGTTTCTAGCAGCTTCCACAAAATCCTTTGTTTCCACCATCATTCATAGCTCTCAGGAAACCCCTTCATTAAAAACTCCAGGATACTTCCAGGTCACTCTGGCCACCAGATATAGGAGGACTTTGGGGACAGAGAAGATTATTTTCATGTAGATCCATAACAAACAGTCTTTACTTGGTGCAGATGATGCCCAATACAGTGAGGTTTGCTGTGGTCATTCAGAGTGTAGTGATCCCATCTCTAGTGGTCATCAATTCCACTGGCAAGTTTTTGACCACAGGATCAACAGCTGATGGACATGTATCATAGCAGGCTTTGTAGGATGTTCCATGACTGTGATAGTATCATTACTGAGACCGTACTCCTATCCTATGACCTTTTTGTTCCACCAAAGGAAAGGATGTATCTTTATCAAGATGAATGCTGCTGGTTATTCTTGGAGAGTAAATTTTTTAAGAAACAGAGGTCATGTCACCTATGCTCACCCTCGCCTCCCCATTCAGTCCAGCTTGAATCAAAATGGAGTCATGAGTTCAACAGAAGTTGATGGTGTTACTTGGTTCTGCCATCACCTTTGCTCAAAAGCTCTCTGTCCTCCAGGTTTCAATGCACTGCTGACCTCTGTCTAAATGTCAAAGCCTCATTTACTTGGTTCTGATTTTTGTTTCTCTGTGCTTTGCTACATAAAAAATCTGCTAAAATAAAACAGTTCTACTTCTGCACTTTTTTTTCTTATAGCAGAAAGATATGGCAGGAACTTTTAATCTGAAAGGTGGAGCAGAGGAAGAGTAAGATGGGCCAAGGGCATTGCATATCGCACAGCTGCTGACAGAATCACTAAAGCAAAGAAGGATACAGAGGCAAAGTTCTGCAATGCTATACTGCTGGCAAAGTTTCCAGTGCCTGGCAACATGCCTAGAAGAAGATAAAACCCCAGTGGAAAAACAAACACAAATATCCCTGTCCAAAAAAAGAAAAAAAAAAGAATATGCAAAATGAGTTTTCTTCCCTTCCGTTCTGTTTGCTCCCATTAATGTAATATCCCTCTTTGATCATGTCACCCTCATCAGTGCAATGCACTCATTTGAGGTAGAGATTGGAGATTTTACAGAGGATCTCAACTAATCTGGGAACTACAGGATCTCTTTCTCTCCTGAAATTAACTCTATCCAACACCCAGAGCAAAACCCAAACAAAAGAATTCCCAGCCATGGTCCAGATGAAAAAGCTCATAGGGGCAACATGTTTTTGTCAGCCTATCATTCCTTCGGCAGCCCTGCTACAACCCTTCACTCCCCTCTTACACTGGAGCTTTATGCTTGGTCTCTCCTAAGTTCCAAACAGCTTTGATCTTCCTTGGGCAGTCTCTCAGCAGCCATAGACACAGTGGAGCTCTAGGGTTCATCTCTCTCTTAATACTAACCCTAGGCATGGGCTGACTTTTACCAAAGATCCTCAGTCATGCCAAATGAACAACAAATAAGGCATGGGTGAAGTCCCATGGAGGGGGAACCCTTGGCCTGGGCCAGACACTAAAGTCCTAAGAGGACAAATCTCTCTGCATCCTCAACCTTCATTGCCTGGCCACTTTGCCACCTCTCTCCAGCAGGAGCTCCAGCAGTTGCCTTTCTCCTAATCTAACCTCCTACATTGGAGGAACCACAGCCAAAGACTCCCAAACGCGGTCCAGGTGAAAAATCTGTTACTGAAGAATTTTTTTGGCAGCTTATCCTT